GCAGCTTCACAATCCAACACTGTTGAAGTCCTTAGCTGCTTCCACACCTGAAAATCCCGAGGTTGTTTCCTCGGGGAAAACACTCCAACGCTCAAGTCAGCAATACTCAATGTTCTAGAGAGAGAAGCTCTCAAGGAGTAATTGCAGAGAGAGAAGCGTAGAGATTAATTACCTTCATCGAAGGTAGTTGGGGGGTATTTATAACCCCTTGGCACTAACATACATCTGCACGTGTAAGCCTCCCCTTGACCCGCGTGGCATTGGTCACGTGGGTATGCTTGCACTGATGTTCCTTCAGCTTAGGCTAATGGGTGGTAGTCTAGGCCCGTTTCACACAGCCCTGTTTGGGTGTTGGGCCTGTTGGGCCTATCCCAACAATATTCAAAATAAAAATAAAATAAAATAAAATAAAATACTCCATAATAAATCCCTTTCTTTCTTTTGTTTTTTTTATATATAAAATCCCTTTCTCTTTCTTTGATAATTGAGGGGCAGAACCAAAGTTATCAATCATATATTAGCATATGTATTGATTTTGTTATTACTACAATATATATTATATATTGGATAATTTAGGATAAATCCAAGGTTTTAACATAAAGTTTTGCCTGCTAATTTTAAGTTAGAATCGAGGTACATATTGGATTTACAGTTTAGAACAGACCTTAACTGATTTGCATTAAATAGGGGTTCTTATGGCCCATAAGTGAGCATGATTCGGTTTCAATTGTAACTAAAAATAAGCTACTGGTTAACTAAAATTTTGAATTTTAAATTCTAGTAATCTTTAATTAAACTAAAAAAAATAGATTTTATCTGTTTCAATTACATCTTTTAAACTAATCATTCAAATTGGTTTCAATTTTAACCAAAAAATTATTTTTATATTGTATAGTATTTTTTGAATTCTTAATTCTTATTTTATTAATTTCAATCACTAAAAAATTAAAAACTATCCAAATAAATAAATAATTTAGTAAAAAATACTAAAAAACCTTAAAAAACCTACAAACTATTAAAAATTTTATATAAAAAGTTTTTGGTTTAAATTTTTTAGTTATATTTACCTGGTTTTTCAATTTCTAGATTTAGTAACCAAAACACAAACCAATTAAAATTAATTTGATTCAATTTTTAGTCATTAAACAAGTCCAAAACCCAATCAAACCCTACTCATCAATTATGATTTCCTCAATTTTTGATTTTTTTTTCTTGGTTGCGAATTTTTAGCCCACCCCTACTTATGGAATGGTGCCAAGGGGGCTGGACTTGGAACCTTCCGATTCTTTTCTTTTTAATTTTAAAGTAAGAAATTAAATTATCAAATAAATAAATAAATAAGAAAAGACTTAAACACTAGAACTCAGTCATAGAAGATTTACTCCACTGTACCACTCATAGTCATAGTGAGTTTTTATTTTATTTTTTTTACTTATTATTCCGATTATTTATTCAATTTGTTAATATTTTTAACAGTAAAATAATATTTAATATTTATTAATGAAAATATTGAAATATATTTTTTAATTTTTTGTAAGGAATTATTTGATTTGTTAGCTGTTGTTATAGTGTTCAATTTTACTTAAAAAAAATAATGTTAGATAATACGTATTTTAGATATATTTTATATAATTAATTTATAATAAATCAATATTATAGATGTAATTTGTATTATAATTATATTGTAAATTGAATATTTATACTCTTTGTATATTTAAAAAAATTATCTTATAATTATTAATAAAAAAATATCCTGTTAGGCGTTTTGAGAGTTGTTTGATGCATTAACCCTATTTTGACATAAAAAGTGACACTTTCATAATCAAAAGATTATTTTTTATCATAAAATACCATATTTGATTGATATTGATGTACTAAATTATTTTGATGATAATATGTATGCCACAATATAACATTTTTTTGAAAATTCGTTGGCAGAATTTGGTTATAAACTGATTTGAAATCGTTGAAGTAGAATCAAATATATATCAGGAAAATTCCTCAATAGTATGTCTATCGGCTTTTTATTCGTTATTTGCGAAGATTCAATATTAAATCTTATATAATTGAAAATATTTTAACAAAGTTTATTATAAATGTATCAAGAATTTCTATAATATCTATAATACCCTTTTATGATGTAATAATTAAAATATTAAATTTTTATTATTTAATATTAATTAAATAAATTATTATAAAATTAAAAATGACAATTAGAACTCTCTCTCACTCTCCATTTTTCTCACATATTGTTTATCATCAGAGATGAATATATTTTGTTCAACTCTAAATTACTTGATATTTAAAATTATTTTTTTGGGTTTGATTAATACAATTAAAAATGTAGTTAAGTGAAATATTTCACTTTAGTTAACAATTAAAGATGAAAATATTTTTTTTCTACTTAAAAGGATTAGAAGAATTTGATTAATTGCATAAACCAAATTAATAAAAAAATATCAAAATTTTAGTAATTATAACTTTATTTTTAAATTATGTTTAAGTATTAAAATAAAAATCATTAATCAAAATAATACAAGAAAGGAAACGGAGAGTTTTGCTTATTGTTATTTTTTAATTTTAATATTCATTTAATTAAAATTAATAAGTACTTAATATTTTAATTATTTGTCAAAAATAGTATTTTGGACCTTTCAAAAACCCCAATACACTTATGGAGAATTTAATTAAAGCAGTTTCACTTATACAAAACTTAAAATTTAACTTTGACTTAATTTGAAGGAAATGTTTAGTAGATCCACTTTAAAGGAATTTTCCTATATATATTCTAGACAAATGTTATATGAATATTATATCCACAAACTTTAAGAAATCAAAGGAGAATATGAAAGATTAAAAAAAGGCATTATAACAAAGGAATAAGTTATGGGGAAATATGGAAAGAATTTCAATTTTACCCTTTTATATTATCTTCGTGTGTGCATATATATATGTATGTGTATATATGTGTGTATAGATATATATTTTTGGAAATCTCTTTCTATATTAGTAATTTAATTTTTATAATTCTTTATCCCTTATCACCCCTACTTTTACATTCTTTCTTAATCATTTATTGCATATATATCCTTTTACCTTTATATATCTTTTTTTATCCATTTTGTCTTCCTCTGTCTCCCTTTACATATTAGAAATATTTTTAATTAATTTACAACATAAAAAGACAAGAATTATTGGTATTATTCTCTCAGTACTTAATTTTTTTTGTTACATTTAGTCCATCTTTCATTAATTTTAGTTGAGATTTCATCCCATAACTTCCCCCTCACATTTTATATCATTACATTTAATTCTCTACCCTATTGATTATTCTTTCTTTTATTATATTTTCATCGTTATCATTCTTTGTTAGATATTCTAAGTATCTTAGTCTATTATCATATATCTTATTTTGACCATTTTTCTATTTCAACTTGTTTTTATTTGAAAAGTTTCATGTTAAAACATAAAGAACCCAATTTCTTAATATTATTCTCTAGGTTCTTTTTCACTAACCTTTACTCCACTTTTATCATTATTTTTCTTAGAACCCTATCTCTTAGCTTCCCCTCCCTATATTAATAACTTTTTTTTATTATTGTTTCATCTCCTTAAGCTTTATTTCTATATTATTATTTATATATCATTATTTCTTAATCACTCCTCACATCTCCATTTATAATCTTATTTTCCTCTCTATTGCCAACATTAAAAATGTTTTTGGCTATAACATAAGAAGCATAACTTCTTAACATTATTTTCTAGTTCTTGTTCACTTACCTTTACTCCACTTCTCTCATAATTAATTTTTCTTGTGACTTAATATCCCTCTACTCCTCACTCAATATTTTATTTTTCTACTCTACCTCTCTTTGCCTCTTTAGATTAATTTTTCTTGCAACTCAATAATCCTTTCAATTATCTTTCTTTATTTTTTTTGCCTTTTTGATAAGAGAAATCCAATATTAACAGCCTAATAAAAGATTAAAAGTTTTAACAAAACTTCAATAAAAAATTTATCAACTTTTCTTATAGTTCGTATAAGTTGAAATCTTGTACATAATATGATATTAATTTAGCAATGATTTTATTAATATTTGAATGGATTTAATATGATCTTACTTGAACTTACATTATTTTTATTTTTTGTGTAGGATATGACTTAACCTTTAAAAATTATACCAAGTTTATAATCATGACATGATATTAAAAGAGTAATGTGTCATTAAATGAGTAGTGTGTTATTAAATAAGTAAATGGATACAATATTATATAGAGTAGATCTCTAAGAAGAAAAAACTAATTATATATCGACATATTATAAACTTATAATTTCATATGGTATTGTACTTATATTATTTTTTGTTTATCTTTTTAGATAATTAAAATATTCAAATTAGTGTCATTAATCTCATAATAGTACAATATTTTTTTTTTCTTGATTATGTAGAGACTAGAGACTAGAGTTTGAAACTTAATCTCAAAGAAAATCAACAAATAAATCCTTATTTTATGGTCTCCACGTGATGTTGATTTTAGGTTGTTTAAGAGTAAAACTAAAACGTGCTGACAATTATCACAGCTTTGAAGTAGCGCGAGAGAAAAGGAGAAGCATTGGCTTGGAATTGAAACGGAGGGATATGAATAGGCTACCTATGACAGTTACCCCCTCACTCGCATCCACAAACCAAACACCACACTAAAAACGAGGACTACCCTCCTCTTCCTTTCACCATATAACTTTTACCACACGTTCTTCCTCTGTTTTTGTTGTATGGCTCTCATTACCAATCCACACTCAGGTTTCAAGTACCATTGTCGAGTTTGCAAGAAAGGATTCGCTTGTGGTAGAGCTCTGGGAGGCCACATGAGGTCCCATGGGATAACATCCGATCACCGCGACGATCTCATCGACGAAGACGAAGATCACGACCATGCCAGCGATTGGGATTGGGAGGCCACTACTGCCGCTCCCGCTAATAAACGCATGTACGCCTTGCGCGCCAATCCTAACCGACTCAAGACCTGCCGCGCCTGCGAGAATTGCGGAAAGGAATTCTCCTCGTGGAAATCGTTTCTTGAGCACGGGAAATGCAGAGCGGATGATGTTGACGAATCGCTCATGTCAGATAATGATGATGAAGAATATGGCGTGAATTCCAACAACTGGTCCAAAAAGAGGAGATCTTTTCGCGCCAAAGTCGGCAATTACGGTAATTGCCCTTCCAGTGAAGAGATCGACCTCGCCAATTGTTTGATGATGTTGTCCAATGCCATTGTTGATCAGCCATCTGAGATGGAGCCAGAGGAGTCTTGCGCTTCCGCCAGCAAAGATGAGGAGAGAATTAGAAATTACCCTTCGAGCTTCGTCGCCCCTGTGTCTTATGGTAGAATCGCGGCTCCACCACCGTCTATGGACAAGGCCAAGGCGCCAGTGGTTCCGAAGGGGCTGTTTGAGTGTAAAGCATGCAAAAAGATGTTTACCTCTCATCAAGCACTTGGTGGGCATCGCGCTAGCCATAAGAAAGTTAAAGGTTGCTTCGCTACCAAACTAGACGGTATGGACGGCAGTTTGGAAGAAGATCACGACGAACTTTTCCCGACCGTGAAATCAATGGCGGAAATGCATTTGATCAATCGTGGAGCGACAAGTAGTACTCCGTTCAAACGAAAGCACAGAGGGCATGAGTGCTCCGTATGCCACCGCGTGTTTTCGTCGGGTCAAGCCTTGGGTGGCCACAAGAGGTGTCACTGGATCACTTCAAATTCCCCAACAGCACCGGTAAACACAACTTCTCCGATCAAGAAACTGTTCGATCATTCCGATCAGCAACCATTGCTCGATCTTACCCTTGATTTAAATCTCCCAGCTACAGATGATCGTGCGGAAATTTACTTGGAGCCGTGGGTAGGAATTGAACCAAAAGATCAAATTGAAAATAGTAATCAAAATATTGGTAATAACAACGAGAAGGACCATAGAATTAATGAATTGGTGCAAAAAGTGGAGGATGAAACAGCTGCAGAGAGTAAAGTGAAGTTGGCAAAGTTAAGTGAGCTAAAGGACATTAACATGAATGGAGGTTCATCGTCGTCATGGCTGCAGGTGGGAATTGGAACTGGTAAGGAAGCAAGCGAATCATAAAATTTTATCATGAAAAAATTATGAAAAGCATTTTTTTTTCTTTTTCCTTTTGTATTTTTTTATCCTATTTTGTAAGGAATTGTAATTAATTGTTGAGAAATAATATTTTCACCAAAACATTAAGTCAAAACATACATGGAAGGAAGTGGCTTGCCACCCTATTTGGCTGATTTGGCTTTTCTTTAAATTTTTTTTACAAATTTTATTATCAACTTCAATATATTATTAAATAAGTTAAATATATATGATATTATAAATTTTAACATATTCAAAATAATTAAATATTAAATAACATGTAATGTTATATGAAAAAGTTATACAAGACTATACATAGATAATTAGTAGCTGAACAAAAATTGTTCTTACTCATGTTTTTCAAATTGATGAGCTTTTGGGTTATATTTGACTTACCTGTTTAGAACATTCTATAATTAAAAGGTGAATATCCAAAGGTTGACAATTTTTTATAATTTATAACTTAATAACTATTAATTATTAAATGTTAGTTATCGAGCTATGTGAAATAAATATAGATTACATTAATTGTTAAAATTATCAATTCGAAATTAATCAATTAATCAAACTAACCACTAATTTTCTTCTTCTTCTTCTTCTTCTTCTTCTTTTTTCTTATTTTGATAGAAGGGGAAACTTCATTAGCAAATATCAAAAATTACAAGTCTAATAACCAAAATATTTTACAACTGTCATTAATTCCCGCTCAGTTCTGCTAAGATTTATTATTTTATTGTGGGTTTAAAAACCTAAATAAGTAGTTTAAGGAGATTCTGGAACCTCAAAACCACGATACATTCTCAAAGAAAACCCAACTAGAAGACTGGCACTTCTTCGTTAAAGATCAAACTCTGCCTCTTACCCTCTAGACTACCTCCAACACTTGCATTCACCGAAGCCCCTTGCTCCCTTGCCATACGCTTCCATGGCTTGGTCCTAGATTTTCCACTACCCTCACCTCCTTTGCCTACTGCAAAATCAACATTCTCCAATTTAATTTTGCAGAATCCTTCTTTCTCCATCCTAAACCAAACTGCCCTCGGCTCTCCTCGACACTCCATTTGTCTCCAACAAAGCCAGGTCCTTCCTTTGGACACCTTCTAAACACCACGCACCTCCCCACTCATTCCCTCCTAACCACAATTCTGTGCAAAAGGTAGGCGATCTTCCCTTCCTCTCTAGCCAAGCTCATTTCGACCACACCCCACCTATAGCATCGTGCAGCCATCCTCCCTCCAAACTTGCTTTCACCGGAATCGACCGAAGCCATTCCCAATATTGCCTCTTTGTTCCACCATCAGTCTCCACCGTAGTCCTCTTACAATTCACTTCCGCATGATCCAACAAGCCACATATATAACAAAAGTTATAAAGCTTTAGATACCTAAATCGCACCTAAACCTCCTTCTAACAGAAGCTTCTTCCCACACAACAAAGGCTGACCAACATCCACCTCAACCCGAACCTGTAGGAAATCTGAATTCTACATACATCCATCCCCCACATCCAGTGCCAACAAATTCCCTATAGAGGCCTCAATTGAACGAACAGTAGCAACAGAGAAGCGATAAGGTGGAACTCCATATATCCTCACCTTGAAAGGAATTCTTCGAAGCATATCCCTTCTTAGAATCTCATCACCTACTACCTCCCAAATAGCCAAGGTCATCTTGCATCACTCTCTCCTCATCCGATCTCTGAGAGAATCGGAATAAGAAAAAGTTGTCCCCTAACAGCCGCACATACATCCCTTGGAAAGGCCTCCAAGCTGAAGCCAAAGTCTTCTCCATCGCTTGTACATTAAACCCTCTCCTCATTAGTCCGTACCCACCAGATCCCAGATCCCAGAAACCAGTCACTCCTCATCCTTCTCCATATCCACCAAGATCTCCCCCAGCTGCAAACCATGGTCCTCTTTTTCTGACAAAGAGAACCATGACCCCATTACCGCCATCAATTCCTCCATTCCATCCTTTGTTGATCGCCCTCTAACCATATCTCTGAACACTCCACCCCTCGTTAATGAACAACCACACAGAATGAAAAGAAATAAGATCCATACTCGCTTAAGTAAAGCTTGGGATCCGGCCGACACCAAAAGTCCAATCCTCAAAGAAAACCTTACCCCTAATCCTAGGGAAAGTTCCATGCTACCGCTCATAGTTTTTTTTTACTAACTTTAGGTATCCGGTAATCATACTAGATCCTAATTAATTTGGAATCAAATCGCATCAAACTCCATTTGGAGAGAAGCTTTTCCAGCGTCTGTTTCTCCATTTATAAGATTCGAACTTGAGATTTTATTTAATGAAAACTGAACTCTTTTCACTCGGACCAACAAGTTAATTGGTGCTTATAGTTAACTATACAAGCTTTGAAATTTCAATTGATAATTGTAAATTAACCACTAAATTGATTTGGTAAAAAAATCAATTAATTCAAAATTAACCGAATTTTGCCCGAGCTTTTTAAGTTCTTAAGAAAACCTTTTGGATTAGAAGCCATACTCAATGGTGAAGCTGAAAAATTATATCAGGGATACAAAAGTTCAAGAAAGGGTAAATGAAAAACAATTTTTTTTTTTTTTTGGATAAAATGTGAATTCTTATATCCAATAGCAAGTATACAAAGCAGCACCACTAATAAAGGCTGTTACCAAATAAGATTTGTACAAAAGAATGGACAAATAATCAACCAATAGAACTCAATCTTAAATTACAGCTCCAATCCCCCACCGCAACGCAATTGGTTGAGATAGTGGCGATGTTTTTGGCCTTGCAAAACTCAAAATTTTATCCTGAACATCAACAATAACCAATTGTACAATCTCAGATTCAAAATGAAACAACGATTGATGTATACGCTTATTGCGTTCAAACCATATAGGGTAAATTGTAGCATTCCACGCCAGCTTGATAAGGGAATTATCAAGAGCCTTCCTTTTGGTTTTCTTTTTCATCCATGGCACTAGTGGCATCAAAGATTTAATAAATGGAATACTAACCCGGTCAGATATCTCTCTCCAAACACTAGTAGAGAAAGAACATGCAAAGAAAATATGGTCTCGTGTCTCACTTGCCTTGTTGCATAGCACACAAATATCATTGACCTGAGCTGACCACTTCTTTTGTCTAGAGCATGTGGATAGCCGATCAAGTAAAGCTAGCCAAGTTACAAAACTATGTCTTGGTATAGAATTAGCAAACCACACAAGTCTGAACCAATCTACCCTTTGTTGTTTGCTTCGAAGACATTCCCATGCAGACTTTGTTGTAAAGGAGCCAAAGGAGGAGGGTAACCAAATAACACTATCTACCTGGCCTGTAATTGGGTACAGTGCCCCACATAACGCTATTTGAACCTACAACAGGGAAGGAGCCCTTGCTGGTGGCCATTTCCAATAGTTCCCATGCGCTACAAGAGAAAGTTTAGCCTGAAGAGGCAAAGCAGCTGCTTTATCAATATCAAAACCATAGGTTTTTATTAGAGGTCCGTGAGGATGCCAATCATCAAACCACAAATATATGCCTTCACCATCGCCCACCTGATGCTTAATAAAAGGCCTAACAACACTTCTTAACTGCAGTATCTTCCTCCAGCTCTAAGAAGCATCATTAGAAACTTTCAAAGACCAAAAACTCCTACCTCTCAATTGATATGCCTTAAGCTAGGTGACCCAATTGAGCCAGCCTTAGTAAAAAGCATCCATATGAATCTTGAAACACATGCTATGTTCCAATCATAAAGAAATTTGAGTCCTAGTCCACCTTCAAGCTTAAGATGACATAGCTTTTCCCACTGTACCTTTGCACCCCTTGCATCACTAGCCCTAGCTTTCCATAGAAAAAAACTGCACAAATTTTCAACCTCTGTTATAGTTCTCTTTGGCAGAATAAAAATGGAGCTCCAAAAAGTACTAATACCTTGAATTACAAAAGATATAAGTTGTAGTCTCCCTGTAAATGACAAGTGCTTGGCAGACCGAGAAGTAATTCTACCAGTAATTTTCATAAAAAGGGGTTTTAAAGCTGCATCACTCAGTCTACTAGTAATAAGTGGGACTCCCAAGTATTTAACAGCCAATGACCCTAGCTTTAATCCATAAGTGTCTGTGATGATCTTAATCACTAAGTTTTGCACTCCATAACAAAACAATTCAGATTTCTAGTAATTAACTTTTAAACCAGTCACTTGATAAAATTGCTTCAAAATGTGATCAATAGTTTACATGCCTTTCAGTGATCCATCAATAAAGATCAACAAGTCATCAGCGAAACACAAATGGGTAAGACCTACTTTTTTGCACTTTGGGTGGAAAGGGAGTGCACTTGTTGCAGCTACCTTATTCAACATTGTTGAAAGGGCTTCTATACAAATAACAAACAAATATGAAGACAAAGGATCTCCATGTCTGATCCCTTTTCTGCCATGAAAATAACCTTCTAAACATCCATTCAAGGAGATAGAGAAAGTAGGAGAGGTGATACAAACCTCTATCCATCTTATAAATTTGTCAAGAAAACCCAATGCTTTGAAAGCCTTGAACAAGTAAGACCATTGTACCAAGTCAAATGCTTTCATAAGGTCTAGCTTTACTAGACCATTGTTTCAGTCTATTTGCTAAGATTTTTGTGATGCATTTGTAAAGAAAGTTGCAACACGATATTGGTCTAAATTCTATCATCCTCAAAGGGCAAGAGACTTTGGGAACCAAAGAAATAATGGTAGAGTTCACTTGCTTGAGTAATTTTCCTGTGACAAAAAATTCTTGAATTGCTTGTGTCACCAAATCTCCAACAACTGGCCAAGCAGATTTATAGAATTCTACCGTGAAACCATCTGGGCGAAAAGCAATTCTAATTGATGCTCAAAAACAATGATGGTTGGAAAGGGGTATTTGCAATTAAAAAACCTAACTTTGAAGCTAACAACAATCTTTTCTTTAAGTAAGCGAGAGATCATAAATTCGAATAGTAGATATATAGGTAAAGTAGATAAAAACATAAAGGAAGTTTGCCTTTGGATTATATAATCTAAAATAAAGAATAAAAAGAAATTAAAAAAAACTTGGAAGAAAACTAGGTTTTGTTTGTTAAAAAAAATCAAAAAAGAATAAAATACCTAAATGCCAATTCATAACAGCAAAAAGAATCAAAATTGGAGAACTCCCAAATCAAACCTGACTCAAATTATATATATAACTGAAAATAGAAAGTGACTATGAATTTTGGTAGACCCTATGCCAATTTTGTTATATATATTACCGTTCAACGAATAAACACTTTTTTTTTTTTTAATAATTGTCTTTTTTTATTCCACCGTAGCTTGAGGAAAATGATTAGTAGTATCCTGGGCTTCCTTATACTGACATGGTAGAAAACCAAATCAAACTTAATTAACATTGTAGAAAACGGAGTAAGAAGCAAAACCCATGCATCAAAATCCACGCGCCAACCGAAAATTATAAGTTTTTCCTTCTAAAATTAGTTATTAAAACTCTTTCACATTTCTTATTACTACCAATAGAAGGGATGATTCATCATCATTGTTAAAGTTTGTGGCTGTGCATGATTTGAAAGTGTTACAGGACACAATTTAAAGAATTTTTTACCATACAGGACACAACTAAAAATGAATTTGTAACTATACATGACTCAAAAGTTTGTGACTATGCAATGAAAAGAGTTTATAATTATGCATGATTCAAAATTTAAAAGAATGCATGGCTAAAAATGAGAGGAGTTCATGACCAGGTGGGAAATTAAAAATGTTATTTGGACCGTGAGAAGTGGCTAAGGCTATAATTTTTTTTAAATACTCAGTTATGATACTTGAAAATATTATTTTATAAATTAATTTTAATTAATTAATTAATATATATTAATTATTTTAATTAATAATTATAATAATTAATTATTTTTAACAATCTTATAAAATAAAAT